CCCTTTTTTTAAGTTAAATTCACAGCGGAATTATTTTCGACTCGAATCCAAATTTTTATAACGAATTCGCCGAATCTGTCGAATCATATTTTTTTGAATACTTCGCTCATCTCTAAATGGGACATTAATTCCTTGTACGGACCACATACATTTGGGCACATTTCCTCCCACACGACACCAATCAGAAAGGCACTATTTTTACCACAGACACAATTTGAGGGGGGCGCTTTTCTTACCTCTAATGTGGCATAGTTTACTCTCACTGGAACAGTCTGGCACCCCCAAAAGTACTTGAACAAACAGTTAAAGTGGCCCTTTGTTTAGAAAGTTTGAGTACTCTTGCTGTAACTGTACTGTATATATATTAAGTTCCTGAAAGTTGCTCCTTGATATGTTTTATTCCCTCATACCTTTCACAATTTTTGTTACTTTCTCCATATTTGGCATCATCCCCCTTTTATGCACTATATAAGAAGCCTCTTAATATGACTTTTGCACCAGAAAATGTTTTTTCATATAGAACCATTACCTCTTGCTCAGAGGGTGTTATAAGCTTGGAAGATCTAACCTGTCAAACACTTTCTGTTAATACTTCACTGGGACATTTCTTTTTTCCAAAAGTTGTTATCTCCTCTTACCTTAATAAGGATATTATAGCTATCTTTCCTTCTGCCCGGTCTTCTCATTGCAAAGTCTTTGGCCTTACTTTCTTGATGTGGTTCGGATAGTTGAGATTTATCTGGCATAGGTGCCTGGATACTAAGCATTTTTGCAAGAGTATCGGTACTTGTGCAAATGCTCTGATGACCTGAAAACGGTACCTTCAGGCTCGATTCTTTCAGCTGTCATTGGGATTCCCCTGCTGTCAGCTGAAAAATATAAACAAAAGCCTAGCAATTACCAGTTGTTAAGGAGTGAGGTTGCATTCACTCATTCCACCTGTCAGCAGAGTTCCCCTGTTGACAGCTGAAGTGTAAAAGAAAAGAAAGCCAGCAATTGGAGCTGTGAAAAAAAAAAGCTGTCTGACAATGTTTATCAACAACATGCTGGCCACTAGAACAGAAAGATATTAAAAAAAAAAACATTGTTTCATTTTGTATCTTTCTGTTTATTCATCGACAGAGCTGATGGATGAACTGCAAGATTAAGTCAGTTTAAAAGCAACCTGTCAAGTAAAAAAAAAGTTGTTTTTTTATTATTTTTTATTAAATGTTCCGATTGTTTAATCCCTTATTAACCCTTAAATTTATTCTAGCCAGCCCTAATTAGTTCCTTATTCTCCTTCTCCATTTAATTATTATTATTTTCCTGTTGTTATTCTTTTGTTAATTTCTATTTTATAGAATATTAATAACTAAAACTTTTTTTGGTTTTGTTTGCTTAGTTTGTTTTTATTTTTACAGATTATTTACATAGTTCACATTGAAAAAAGCACACAATCGAAAACATGTATTTTATTTGTAAATAGGTTTATTACAAATAAAACTATTAAAATAATTCAATAACCTTGAATAAAACATTCAATGTGTATGTGCAGTAACACTATTTGTTTTTAAATGAACACTGCTCAAAAAAAAACGTGCATGGTGTGTTTTTTTTTTCTTTGTTTTTTTAGTTTTCTTACATTTAATTGTCTAAGGATTGTGAAAAATAAAATAAAATTGTTGCAAGACAATTTTCACAAAAAGAAAGTAATGATAAAGTTATCCCCCAAAAAAGGTCTATAGCAGAAATGTAAAAATTGCTCTGGTCTATAAGGGGTGAACAGGTGTTAGGAGTGGGGCCACCATGTCCTTAACAATGATCACTCATACAGCTGTCAGCAGGGCTCCCCGCTGACAACTTTTTTTTCCTCTACATCACATTTTTTGTTTAGGTGAATGAGTACACTGATTTGATGGTACCTGCAGTTCCATATACATATCACAGCAGCCTATTGTATAAACAGCTATTTTTTTGGTTGGATATCACAATTTTCAGTAGTTATATTACTTTTTTTCAGGGGGTTTTAGACACATAGGAGCACATAAGTTTTTATTTTTAACAGTTGCTGGCAGGTATAAAAAAAAAAGTATCAGTACTCGTACTCGCTGTAAAGAAAAATTGGTATTGGTGCATCCTAATTTTAAGGGTATAAAAAATCAGTTTCTCTCAGATAAAGTGATCCTTCCTAGTGAACAGAAGGTAGAGAATGGGAATGGGTTGGTACTCTTCCTTCTTTGTTTTAATGCGTTATTTCCTACATTTAATCAACCATTTATTTAGAAATTATGCTTAGATCAGATATCTAATTGAATTTATTGTCAATAGGTGCCTGGATAATGACAGGTGGAATGCAGGTTGGCATAGGGAAATATGTTGGTGAAGCTGTCAGAGATCATGCCACTGCAAGCTCCAATTCCAGAACCAAAGTAGTGGCAATGGGCATTGCACCATGGGGAATTGTAAATAACCGTCAAAGCCTGGTAAACCCTAAGGTAAGACAGTGTTCTTGCTTGCCTCCTCTTTTTTTTTTTTTTTTTTTTTGCTACATATAGTTGCTACGTTTGGAAGTAATTTTGCAGACAGTTGTAAAAGATTAATTGGCTAGCAACATTTTTTTTTTTTTTTTTTTTTTTGTATTTCAATGGTTTTTATTAATTTTAAACAGTATAAAACAGAGGCAACAAAACACGCCAACGCAGGGGCTATCAATTGCACCGATAGAAAATGTATAATAGAGCAGACAACGCTCTAATTCCAATAAGGCAAAACGTATGCCCACGTAGGGGCTATCAATGGCACATAGGTTACAATAACATCAGTGAAACTCAGATTATCGCAACTAAAGACAGCTGTCCACTGTCACATCAAAACAAACAGAAAAGGAAAGCAGAAAAGCAGAGAAGAAAGAAAGAGAAAAAACAAAAACACACACCAGAGAGCAAGGGTCCATGAGCGCCAATACAAAACTCCATCACCTCCCTACACTGGCCGGGGGGAGCGTGGGAAAGGCATATTGCAACCACGGTTCCCATATTTTCAAAAATTTATGTTGAGAGTCATTGCATATACTCGACATCTGTTCATTGAGCATCATAGTAGTCATACGATCCCGCACCCCCTGAAAAAGTACAAACGGACTCTTCCAGGCCTGGGCAATTGTCCTAGTGGCCGATAAAAACAAATAGGAAGCCAATCGCTGCTGACGAGCCAAGAGGCCCGGTATGGGGCAATGAAGCAAAGCATACCGAGCATCCCGGCGTATGGAGAGATGAAACAAAGTGAAAAGGAGGCCAAACACACGAGACCAAAAACGAACCAACCTCGGGCATGACCACCAGATATGCAGTACATCGCCACGATGGCCACAACCCCGAAAACATCGATCACTACAGGCAGGGTTAGCCTGAGCCAAACGAGCCGGCACCAATACCAACGAAACAATACCTTATAGGCTGCTTCCAGCGTGGTCGTATTAAACGAACATTTAGCTATGAGTGACCAGGCTTTATTCCAGTCCTCCGGATCCACAGCCACTCCCAGGTCGCGTTCCCACTGAACTACATATGAAAGAGAAGTGTGCGACGAGCATCTGTTCAAAGCTGTGTAAAGAAGGGAGATAAGGCCCGGGGCGCCCGGACGCTGCTGGCAAAGCCGTTCAAAGGCAGATGTCTGATATGGGAAAGCAGAAGTGGCCCTCAGCGAGAGTAGCCAGTGCCGCAATTGAAGGTACCGAAAAAATTCCGCTGGGGGAACATCCCGAGACTCCCGGAGGACATTCCAGGTGGGAAAGGACCGAAAAATCAAAAAGTGTCGCACCTGTGAGAAACCATGAGCCACCCACCAAGAAAATGCCCTCGGGTGATCTAGACCCGGCGGGAAAAGAGGGTTATTAACGATTGGAAGCAAGGGCAAGAAAGGTGACATCAGGCCACTGGAGTAACGTACCGAGTCCCAGGGCTAGCAACATTTTAAGGTGAGACTCCAGTCAACAATAGTTTCAGACATTGTATTTTTGTCTGATTTTTATTTTGCTTTGTGAAAATATCCCATATCTTTCTGCATTGTACAGAATGTGAGGGGAAATATCTGTAGTGGGGACTCAACTGCAATATAAGCACTTTTTTGATGGATGGGAAAGCCCGTGTCAAGTTGTCATTGCTCTCTGTGTAATCATTGGGATGATTTCCCCTTGCCAGGACAGAAAATGAAGAGAAAATATTCTAGGGCAACAATGACTGCAGTAAAACCTTAGCGTTTAAGCCATCTACCAGTAAATAAAAAACAAACTTGTGGCTGAAATGTAGGCCACTCCTATACTGGGCATTGAGGAGTTCATATAGGTCCAGGTATTTGTGGGGATTATGGTTTGCAGCAGATTCCTGGATGGGATTCTGAATTAGACACCTTACTGTTTTTTTTTTTTTTTTTTTTGTTTTCTACTGGATCACATTAAATTGGAATGCAGTGTGCTATTTTTGCAATCTTTTAAATTTTTTTTATGGAGCAATTTATTTTTTTGTTATTAAAAGACCCATCCTGCAAACCAGAAAAATGTTCTATTGTTAGCAGACTATTAAAAGCTGAATTGTAGTATACAGATACTGCCACACATGGCTTTTATAACTATCATGGTTTCCCTTATTTCCTGTCTGCCATGATATGCATTGGCAAAAGCTACTTGTCTAAACTGAATATGACAGTTCAGAGGGGTTGCAGAAAAGGTGGAAGATGATTTTCTATCCAGGGTGCTAACGTATGTGGGAAATTGAGCCAAATGTATGGTAATAAAGCACCATGCATTTTGGTGCAGTGTAATAAAGAACGTGCTTGTACTTCTTTGGTGCAGTTGTCAAGCATGGGAAAACCCTTTGAAATGAATGGACTGGCCTAAGAGCGACGTGCAAAAATGCACGTGCACCGTTGCACATGCAGCCTTAAAGTGTTACTAAACCCAGGGCCCTGCATTCACTATATCTGGTCTCCCACAGTACACAAAACATGGAAATACAATTATTTTAGTAAATATAAACTGATAAATACCTTTTCTCATCAGCAGTTAGAGCAGTCTTGTGAGTCAGCTGAGCACTGGTTAAAGATTGTCGAAGGAGTTTTCTTTCTGCTCTAGGAGGATGCAAAACCCCTGACCTCTGTCTGGACAGTGCTGGTTGGTCCTGTGCTGATCACATAAACTCTATCAAAAAAAAAAAAAACCTTTCTAGCAATACACACTAAACTGAGCAGATGCAGAAGGGCTATGGGTTCAATCTGTCTTATCAGCTTGGACATTTGAACAAGAGGAGGGTCAGAGAAGTCAGGATCAAACAGCTTTTTTACACAATGCAGAGGATTAACCCCTTAGGTTCCACAATGAGTATAACAAGCATACTTTACTGCATATACAGACTGATTTTACTGCTGTGGGTTTAGTAACACTTTTAATCTCGCTGCTAATTAGTGTTTCCAAAAACAGGTCAGAAGGTCAATTTTTGACAGCAGTGACTGCTGTATTTACAGAGCAAGTTCCAGCTGTTATGTTGCTAGTAAAAGCACTAAAGCGAGCCACAGCTGGAGGGGAAGTAGAGGACATGTAACATACATCTGGCATTCTGTGATTTTTTTTTTTTTTTTTTTTTTTTTTTTTTTTTTAGGGCATGTACGTACCACACCTAATCTAACAAACTAACTTCTCACCTGATATATCAGGTATGGGGACTAAAAAGTACCCCTACAGTAGTCTCGTGCTGTGCTTAAAAAGGCACCTAAAAGTATTGATTAGATGTGTGTACGCAGGAAATTTTAATTTCTTTTTGAATGCATTCGTTCATTGAGGAATTTCATGTTGTAATATTTATTATGTGGAACTGTTTTGTTTTCGGAATTCGTTTGGTATCTCTGGCATTCGTTTTCTATATTCGTTAGTCCAGTTGGATTCCAAAAATGTTGCAGTTTTTCTTGAAGCTTGCTATATATTTAATACAATATTGTATCGGGTGGGTTCAAATCAGAAGGCTTTGATTTTTTTTTGGATGGTAGTCCAACCCACCAAGAGAAATGGCATGAACTGATTGCGCAATATCAACTGGTGTCATGCGCATCTGAATTACTGAATGGAACAAAATTCATATCCATTACTTATCTGAATTATCAAACAAATTTGAAAATTTTATTTTTAAAATTTCCCCATGGGCCTGAACTACTATAGCATCATGTGACATCATTTGAATGAAAAAAATTAAACGAATGCATTCATTAAGCTCAATACAACTTCTTTTGGATTCGTTGACATTCGTTACTGTCCATTCGGAGATTCATATACATCTGAATCTGAAAACTAATCGTAACGAAATGCACATGTCTAGTAGTGATCCACATTGCCTAGAAAGGAGACAGTCAATTAGACAAAAGTTGCCAACGTTTTTTTGTGTTTAAGGTTAATTCCAATGGGTCGGTCTTTTCTAAGCCCAGCAACAGATAACTGATTAGGAGCAATTACTTTTTACCAGTAGACAATATGGGACACATTTTTAAAGCATTCTAATATTCTAATATTCACCAAATGTTCACTGCATTGGAATCTTTTAGGTGCATGTGTTTTTAAATTGCCATAATTGTTTCACTACCAGTGAATGTTTAGTAATATTTACATTTATTGCTTTATAATTCTGTCCCTATGTGTTGTATATGGCTTATAGCCTCAAGGGGAAGCTGCCCTTCTCTGGCTGGTGGGCTACATGCTAGTTCTGGGTCAGAGTCATCACTTGCAGTGGTGAATGAGCTCTTCTTTGGTGCAACAGAATAATTGAGGGCTTTGTATCAGACATCCTTTTACATTTGTAACCTTTCATGGTATTCATTCCTAGCTGTCACTATTGTTTCAGGGGTCTTCTCCTGCAAAATACTACATGGAAAATGTGGACGGGCCAACTTATTCCTTGGACAACAATTACTCTGTTTTCCTCCTAGCGGATGATGGAACCAATGAACAAATGGGAGGTGAAACAAGCTTTAGATTCAGGCTGGAGGAGCACATATCACGACAGAAGACTGGAGTTGGAGGTAAGTGTAAAGTGTAGCCAGAGAATTCAGTGTGGCAATGAGCAGTCAGTAAACTGATATATTCCACAGCAACCAATCGGCATTCAGCTTTCACTGACTGTTCTAACCTGAAAAATGGAGAAATCTGATTTGGTTCTGTAGGTTACTTCATTTAGAACATCATCATTGCTCATGCACTGTTTAAACCTACAAATCTAGAACTGAAAGATTGCATTGAAGCAAACCATACATGGATCAAGATTTAGCCAGTTCAGCAGTGACCGGACATATTTCGATCCATGTATGAGCAGGCTGGTTTACTGAAGTTGGTGGGGCTGTGCTGATCAGTGTATTTTGATGGCAGGGAAGTCAGAATACAACATTTCACTGGGTTGGATTCCCCTATCCACATAAAGTCTTTTTTTTTTGGTTTGTTTGTTTGTTCAACCTGCTGGTTAAGTGAGAAAATATATTCTCCTATGGGTTGCTTTGGATTTATCCATCAGTTATGGATACTCAAAGTAGGTCATGTAGATAAGGACATTTACAGATTATGAAAGTATATTATTTCATTACTGTATTCATAATAGATGCTAGAAAGTGAGCTGATATCTACTGAGCATATTATAGCTAGATAGAGTATTGAAATGTGCTATGCTACCCACAACAGCCAATCGGATTCCACATATTATTTCTTCAGCTCAGGTCTAGCAGGATAAAGTTTTTAGATATTTTATCACTATACTATTTTGTGAGTGGCATGTCCGTAGTAAACCTAAGGTACACCCGAAGCACATGAATAATTTATGAATTTTGCCTGATTTAAAGACCATTTTTAGAGCAGATGTAACTAGATAATGGAAATGGTATCTTCTACCCATGACAATCAACTGGGTTCAATGGTGCTATTTAAATTGGTCATGATGTCAATAAGCGCAGCCCTACTTTGCCTCCTAATCAAAACGCGTTAACACGGTTCATGTGAATCATGCTGGGAACAATTTAACCCTCCAGGCAGCCTCCTCAAAATATGTGAAAGCAATACTCTAAAATGATACCACAATATACCTCCTCCTTCATCGACAATGTGAAACATTAAAAATATCACCTAATGTGCTGAAAAATTATTATTCTTAGAAAAAGACCAATCTCTTTTATAGGCAAAACATACAAAATCCACTGTGACCCACTTCAAATTCACCATGCGTTTACTCTTCCCATTGGATGTGTTCTCATCTTTAGGAATATGACCACTAAGTTATAAGGGTCACAATAAGCTTTTCCCCCTCAGGGGTTTCTGTAGCACCTACACCAATCTGCCGTCCCTTTTCCTCCTCTATACATGTTTGATGTACTATAGCTCAGAGTAAAGCATATAATACACTCATAGTGCTTTCCATTCGATATATTAACATTTCTAACATCATAAAAAATGCACTCACATTATATTGTGCACAGAAATAGAGCTTGCTTGATAAAATATCCAATAAATGCATACAGCTGTGAACAGTAATGTTATTTTTTCCGTTTGTTCAACCACTTCCTGTTTGAGTGTGATGACATCATCTGACTCTGCCCTACAGGTTAGATTGCATTACATGCCTTCCTCAAGGGTTTGGGGTAGAGGGACGTCTTCCCTATCCTACTATACTTGCTAATTGTTTATGGTTACCCAGGTTACCACTGAAAAGAACAGAGAGAATGAAACAAATATGGCGGAATAGTAACCTAGGTAACTATAAGCAACTAGCTGTATATATGTATAGAAATATATACTGTGTGTGTATGTATGTATGTGTATGTGTATGTATGTATATATATATATATATATATATATATATATATATATATATATATATATATATATATATATATATATATATATATATATATATATATATATATATATATACATATAAAATGTGTGTGTGTGTGTGTATATATATATATATATATATATATATATATATATATATACTGATACATAGAAGTAAGCTACTGAAGAAAAGTAGTTTTACTACTCTTTTACTTTATTCAGACTATTCGATCATATGCTGCAGCATTTTTATTTTCTTTTCCAGGAAAGGGAAGCATTGAAATCCCTGTGTTGTGCATGCTTATTGCTGGAGAGTCCAAGATGCTGGAGGTAAGGAATGGATGTTTGGGAGGGTGCAGAGACTAAATCTTCCCTTGAATATCTTCTTACTGCCATATTCAACTGCTAAGGCTCATGTCTCCCGTAGCTTCTGCTGTGTGTTCCATAGTAATTTAAATAAAAAATGGAGATACTCTCAAGATGGTTATAGTGAACTGGTGCAGATATCTGTTATTTAAAGGAGAAGTACATCCTATATTTATTTTGGCTGTACTTCTACTGTGGATCACAGGAGTGCAGTTTGTTCTGCACTCCTGTGACCCATTTTCAGCTGATAGGGGGTTGAAGCCCGCTGTCAGCTGACATAACTCAGCCGGTCGGGCTGAGGGAAATAACCCAACTTTAAAGTCAGGATCCACTCGAGTCTGGAGCGGCACCTGGCTCAGTGAGATGCTGAGAGCATCATTAAGCCATTCTCTCCCCCTCCACAGCCTGCACTCCAGTGAGAGGGGGGGGGGGGGGGGGGGGGGGCAGAGCAGACAACAGTGGCTGACAACTCACTGCTCTCTTCTCACACTGGCTGTGAGAACTCAGCGATCAGCAGTCATTTGAGTTCTCACACTTCAAAACCGCTGGGGGTCAGATGCAGCATTGGACTGATGCTGCATCCATCTTAAGTATAACTGGGCAAAAAAAAAATCCCCTACTTCTCTTTTAAAGTGCCCAGTTAATAGAAGCAAGGAGTAGAATCTATTTGTCCAACTAAAATATCAGTTTTGGATGGAGTAGCCATTAACGTCAAAGGGTTGGTCTACCCAAACCTAAAATATTTAATTCTGATAACTTTGATAACCGGTTTATTAAAGTTATTAATTTTCTGTAAAATCTAAACAACTAGAAGATGTCCCACAGCGTACAAGGCTGTCAAACAACATTTAAAATTTGCAGTTATGTCCCTAAAGGGCTCTCCTGCTCCTCACATAGGTCTTAAAACATATAAAAACAAGTAATATTTTATTTGCTTTATTTGTTTTTTTTCTTTAAAATCTGTTTTTCAGAGTTTTGCTAGGCACTGTTTATTCTACTTTATAATCCATCTGGGTTATCTGCTGAAACATTCCATTGCTGATTGTTCCCTTACTTACCATTTTCTGCTCTATATAACCATATTTGTACTATTTTCAGAGAGTCTAC